CTAAAATAGAGAAGTAAGAAAGCAATTGTCAGCTGCATTAGTAACGAAAAAGCACCCGATGAAACAACTAATCAAAGTAAAAAACTAATATCAAAGTATCGAAATAATAAAACTCTGTAATTTTCGATTTTGCAGAAATTAACATTTAACTTTTATTTCGATCAGACTTTCGGAACAAATTCTTCTGTTCATAAAAGAAAAACTGAGCACAGCACTGCATAAATTTGAAAAATGAGCACAACAAAAAGTCAGTTACATAGTAGCGATTTTCGTAAGCTGCTTCGCTGAACTTTGAGGAATGCAATTTCTCCACAAAACCTATAAACTCTAGTTAAATGTTTCAGTAGTTTCTACCATATGTAAAAGAATCCAAAGATATTTCTAAACTGTACGGAAAAGAGAAAAACGAGTCCGAAACGGCGAAATTGGCAACTTTTACTTTTGAAATTTCGTAAAATTTCACATCAAATTCTTTTACATGAAAGTCACCAGAAGGTAAACGCACTAAAATAGTAAATATTCCCTGAAACAAAGCAGCTTTTAGGTTGCTCATAATTATGGTAATTTCGAAAACAAATTAATTGTAAGATCATCTTACGCGTATTCATCAACAAAACAGCTCGGAGCAATGAGTTCTTGCTTTTTCTTTCAATTTTCTGATCTACGTTGCTGAAAAAGAAATTCAAAATAATTAAAATCGGAAATGGAATTCGAAAATCAAGAACTCATTGCTATTATTTATAAAGTACATTAACTGGAAAACCTGGCTTGAAAAAAAAAATCACATAACAGCATGCTTCAGAGCAGCTCAACGAAAAGCATGCTTCTTTTTTAAACAAACATAAATTCCTGATATCGAAATGTGACAGCATAAGATTACCAACAGCAGTCATTTTCATAGCTCTGCTGCCCGAGCAATGGGTGTAGGTGTCTCACGTTACTCAGCTATACTGAAATTTTCAATACTGAATTTTGCGCATCAACTTTAACCAGGACAAAAATGCTTCTGAGGTGGGTTTTTGCCGAGAAAATCAACACAGTACCCAGTTTGATGAAACAGGATGAAATAAAGTCAAAATTATTGGCGTTTTTGACACCAAATTTTGCCGCAAATGAACAGAGGTAACACAAGTGGTAAAGTGTTTGCCTTATAATGATAACAATTTAATATTATTAGTCCAGTACTGTGCTTAAATTCAATTCAAATCCAACCATTTTAGCTAAATTTGGCTCATTTTGACTCATTATCGTGCGCTTTCCTCCACTCAGTGCTGTCACAAAAGTGCAAAAAAAGATTTCCATCAACATTCCATTTCTTGCTTACATCAACAGTAATAAAAATAAAGTTGAAATTCGCAGTATTACAGTAATGAATGAAGAAAAAAATACACGATAATTCTACACGAATTAATTTTAACATAGACACGGCTGCTTACTTAAAAAAATTTGCTCACAAATTACCGTAGTTCGGAAGCGCTTGGTTTTCTCCACAGTCGTAAAATTTACAGTTTGCTTTTCAAAAAAAAAGAGAATCACTTATAGCATTGCTGCTGACAAAATGCTATTACGGTTTTCACTTCCAAGTACTTCAGCCTCTCTCAAAAAGGAAACGGTAAGGGGAAGAGAGGACAAACTACGATTTTTTTTATCTTTACCTAACGAAATTATACAACACATTACGGCAAAATCATTAATATCAGCAGGACTAGGGGAGGGAGAAAAACCCTAGTCTCGAAATCTCGCTTTTACTGGAACACTAAGCAAAGTTTCGCAAACTCCCGGTCCCGAGTTTACAGCTTCTTATTTCGCCTATTGCATTCACTAGACAGACCAAACATTTGATATTCTTTGGGTATGCCTGACGAAAAAACAGGCAGCTTGCTCGAAATGAGGGACTTTCCTGTATTTCAGACCAGCTCCCCGTTCAGTCCTATCCCCTGAGCATTGGCAAAGTTCGAAACGAAATGTTAATGGTCAATGGTCACACAAGAAATCTCGAAACGGCTAAAGTCTTGCCACTGCCTCTGCTAAGGTATTGATCAAGTTGATAATCTTTGCAGGAGACGGGAACGAATGTCAGGATCGCTAGTAGACCAAAACCAGAAGATACAGCACTGGTCAGAAAAACTGCCAATAGCACAACTAAAAGACGTCGCTAGGAACTGCAGCTGGTCACGATGACGAAGTCTCCATACCATCTTTCTGGGAAGCAAAAAATCAAGGGCCAAAAAAAAAAATGAAAAAATGCAAAAAAAACTGTACAAAAAAAGTAAACAAAGTGAAATTTTGTAGAATTGGCGGCTTGTCGTTAAACACAAATAAGAAATAGATTATTAGTGCTTTTTTTACAAGCCCCTTTCCATTGGGCAGCTACAGAAAACGATCAGGTTTTATGAAGAAGCGATGTCACATGCACTCCAGCGGAATTACATACAGTGCATAAAAGCAGAAAGTACTGATCGATCTCAATCAAGCTATCACTAACGTGATGGAGATTGAAATCGATTAGTACATTTCAGGCAAATATTGATCGATTTCCATCACTGTGCTATTCATGATAGGATAATTGCGATTTTATGAATATGTTAGTGATTGGAATCGATCAGGTCCTTTCGATCGTTTTCAATCTATCATAAATAGAGATGGGAATCGATCAGCATATTTATAATAAAAACATTTGCTCGACATCATGGCACATCCAAATCCTTTGGTATTGTGGTTTCACGGAATTTGCAACATTAAAAGTTTAGGATTTTCATTATTTTAGTCCTAGGCATGAGAAAAGGCACCTAAAAATTCAACACTGCCAGCGTTTAATTTTACTGAGGTCGCTTAAGTTTCCAAACTTTTTTTAACAAGAATACAACCACAAGCCAATCACAGTATTCAAAAATAGCTATTTTCATGTTTCTTGGAATTTTTTCCAAGTAGTAACCGATTGTTAGGCTAACAGCGGTTTGTGCCATTCCAGCGTAGCGGATAAAAAATTACAGTGCAGCGTCTTTTCAAAATTTTTAGGGCCCAACTGCTCCAGGATGATACCATTCCACAAAGGACAAAGGACCATTTTTTGAAAAAAAT